TACTTATTGCTTGTCTTGAGAACATGTACTGAATAGGTTGTGTTTGCTTGGCTATATAAGGGAATGGGCTCTCTCTGTCTTCACAACTTCTTAGGGGTTTCCCTGTGGTGTACATCACATTCTGCCTTAAGGCTTACTCAGTTCAAGTGTTTTCTTTCTTTACTACTTTTGTGGAGAGAATTTCTGGGTCAGAAATTCTGTTTTCAAACAGCATTTTCCCCTTTATTTTAAACTGATACATAAAAATTGTGCCTATTCATGGTTTTGATGCACATTTACATTGTGTAATTTCTAATCAAGGTAAGGATATCTATCTCCTTAAACTTTTATTATTACTTTATGGTGAAACAGTCCAGATCCTGTCTTCTAGTTTTGTGATTTTTAATATAGAGAAATGTTCAGTAGTGTATCATTTTAAAAAAAATTTTCATTGTCCCTTTTTAAAAATGATTTATTTATTTCAAAGGTGGAGTTACAGAGAGAGAGAGAGAGAGAGAGAGGGCTCTTCCATCTGGTTCACTCCCCAGATGGCAGCAACTGCTGGAGCTGCGCTGATCTGAAGCCAGGAGCCAGGAGCTTCTTCCTGGTCTCCCATGGGGTGCAGGGGCCCAAGCACTTGGGCCATCCTCCACTGCTTTCCCAGGCATGTTAGCAGGGAGCTGGGTGGGAAGTGGAGCAGTCAGTACACAAACCAGTGCCCATTTGGGATGCCAGTGCTGCAGGTGGCGGCTTTAACTGCTACACCACAGCTCCAGACCCAGTAGTTTATCATTACTTGAAACAGAGCATTGACCTTCTTACTCCTAACCAACTACAATTGAATGAATAACTTTTCCCCATTATTCCCCTGCCAACCCTCCCACCCTCCTTCTCAGTCTCTCATAACCACCATTCTACTCTCGACTTCTCTGAGACAAATTCTCAAATCCTATTTCCCTAGAAGTTGTTTGATTTGTGCCAGAGTTGCCCCTTGAACAAATTTTAGTCAGATTTCTCTGTACTCTGCCCCGTCCACATGTGATGTCTGATCCACCCATTCCACCCTGCTTCCTGGCTGTAAATTCCTACTTTCCCTTGTATTCAGAACTGATCCCAGTTCACTACTGAAGAATGAGTTCCCCCTATTGAAAAAGTCCTGGATAAAACCTCTTCGTACCTCATTAAACTGCTTTCCACCTCTGGTTTTCTCTGACAAGTCACAAAAGGCACAGGGAAAAGATATAGCTAGAGAGCAAGTGGAAGGCCAGTTCAAGAAAGAGTGCTATGTTAGAATGTAGACTTTATTCCCTGGGCAGGGACGGGTTGTGGAAGACCTTTAGTGAGGGATGTAGAAGAATCATTGTTCTCCTTTAAAAAAAATGGATCTGGCAGTAATGAGGATGGATTGGAAGGGCAAAGTGTTAAGTGCCATAGCAGTGAATGTGCACACAAGAATAATTTTAAAATACTCTTTAAGTCCTCTTTAGTCTGTTATTACTCAAAAAGTTATCCTTGGGCTGATTTTTCACCAAGCCACATAACAATATCTGGGGCAACATTTCTCTACAAAGTGAAGCATGGAGGACAGCAACAGTGGCTTTGGCCAAACATGCGGCACTCCTCGGCCATTGTCTTCTAAATCGTTTGGGTGTTCCTCTGGCCCCACAATCTCATCCCAACGGCTCTCAAAAGCTCAAGCATCTTTTGGAGCCAGAATATTTCTGATGGTATCCGTTCAGTAAAAGGAGTTGTTTAGTAGGTGATCCCTACTATTATAGGCTGTTATGTCTATTGGCTTGCTTTACAGGAAACACTTGCTTTGTAGTTTCAGTGAGGTCTTTTACACTAATAGTAAAATTGGAATGTGGTTGTTAGTACAAATGCCTCATTTATTGGCAGCCCCTACCTAGAGCCCCATAGTGTTGAGTATTGATGTGGGTTCAGATTTTTCAAACATAACAATACATAAATGATTTCTTGAATTTTGAACTTTGTTATTAGAGATTGAGAAGAGCCAAGACACTTTGAACTATACACATATTTATTAAATAGTTAACAAAGGCACATCCATAATCACTTTATACATATATATATGTATATGGCTATACATATATATATATATATATACACACATACATACACACACATATACACATAACACAAATAGCACATATATGATTCTCTCTTAACTGTCCATTTTGCCAACAAAGAATTGTTCAATGCTTCAGGTTGCAAAGGATAAAGGCAGAGTCCCAAGTCCTGATTGTATTCTTGCCCACCTTCTTATTGATGTCAACATTGATCCTAGATGGACTGATCATCTTCTGTAGCGATAAGATCTCCAGGACACTGACAGCAGAGGCTCCTCAGGGCCACTGGGCAGTCCCTCAAGTCCAGTTGTTAATGGACAGGCTGCCTTCTTTAGCAGGTGCTATTGCTACTCATCCAGTTACTCTGATTTTCCCCAGTGTTTCTCTATGCCCTTGTACCTGCAGGCAGCATTTTGCATCACTTACAAGGAGACACCTTCCTCTCTTTCATCACAAAAACTTGGAGTGTGTGTGTTTGTGTATGTGATGCATTGATCCAGATGCCCTGTCTGCCCCTGCACTGTGCTCTGTTGCCATCCACAACACCATAATGCTGGGCTATACTGATCAGAACTTCTTTCTTACACTGATTTATCCATGCACATCACAATTTTGTGCTTCCGCTTTGGGCATTCGTTTGTATGAATGGGAATCAGCCTCTCTGTGTCTCCCACAAACCTTCTCTTACACTCTGGTGGCTGCCCTTTCTATCCAAAATACACTGCTTGGAACTCATGGCTTTAATTTCCCAGACACCCACTGTCATCCTGCCTAAGGGAGTATATGTCAGGTGCTGAAAGAAAAATCTGGGAGTCTCTATGTCCATTTGTTGGATGTTTGCCAGTACAGACATTGGATTGCCCCCAAAAATGTAATCACAGTATTGGTCCCATCACTGTGTCATGCTGTCTACAGATGTTAACCATGTGATTGGATTCTGACCCGTGGAATTTTAGCATGCTATCTAAAATAACCAGGCATTATTTTAGGTTTATTATTACATCAGAGCTTTCCCGACAATAACAAAATTAGAACCCTCCTTTTCAGCCTTCTTGAGGTGGTGGATGACTGCACCACTCATCCAAAATGATTTGATTCAATGCCTAGAAGTTTGCTTCAGAAAAACCTCTCTCTTGTAACCACGCATGCAACTGTCTGATAGCTGACCATTTAAGAAGCAAGCTCTTTTCTTTTCTTTCTTTTTTTTTTTTTTTGACAGGCAGAGTTAGACAGTGAGAGAGAGAGAGAGAGAGAAAGAAAGAAAGGTCTTCCTTTTTCTGTTGCTTCACCCCCCAAATGGCCGCCATGGCTGGCGCGCTGCGCCGATCCGAAGCCAGGAGCCAGGTGCCTCTCCTGGTCTCCCATGGGGTGCAGGGCCCAAGCACTTGGGCCATCCTCCACTGCACTCCCTGGCCACAGCAGAGAGCTGGACTGGAAGAGGAGCAACCGGGACAGAATCCGGCGCCCCGACCGGGACTAGAATCCGGGGTGCCAGCGCTGCAGGCAGAGAATTAGCTTAGTGAGCCACGGCGCCGGCCTAGAAGCAAGCTCTTTTCAATACAAGTACTCCCAGGAGAAGTAGTACAGAAGCACTACCATTTTTTAACATTGTAGTTGACATCTTACATCTCAGCTAGGAACTGCTCTCCAAAGCCTGAGATGCCAACCAGGAAAGTTCTGAAAGGGAAGATTCTAGATTCATATGAGTAAGCAGCCCATGATAAATTGCTACCACAGGGATTTTGGAAGGCCAGAGGCCACCATGAGGGAAAAATGAGGGCTTGCCTTAAAAGGATGCTGTGAAGAGAAGTTGAAAAGTACCTATGATCAACTTGACTTATATATAGTTTTGCCTGTTGGTCAACTTTCTTCCATCCAATAGAAACTCCAAGTCTCCATTTGATCAGGAAGGCCTGCCCTGAAATTTTAACCTATCATTCAGCAGCTTCAAACAGAAAGAGATAGGCTGAATTCTGCAGAGGTCAAAGACCTCTTGTAAATGTCTTTATACTGAACTGGTTTTAGTGCTAAGAGTGTCAGACTTGCAGAAGCATGTACAACACATCAAAGGGTCAAAGGTGGCTCACTAACAAATACAGTAGTGGCGACCACATTACAATAAAGTAGGGCGCAATCAGCAAGAGAGCTCCGTATGGTACAGCTGATACTAGGGAAAGACTCTCTCCTTCCTGATCCTCCTCACTGTCATAGACACGTGAACAATACTCTGCTGCAACCTCTGACCCAAACTCTCTTCCCAGTGGCCCAGTCTTCTAGTGGCCCAATTATGGAAGGGTGGTCAACGCAGAGTTCCTGATTAGTGTTTTTGAAGTGTTATAGAACAAAGTATTACCAAGTTGCATTTGCTGCTTTCAATAACAAAAATGATTAGCCTTTCATTCCCACACCATTTGTAGATGATCATTTTAGGTGAGAGAGAACATTTTAATTCATGCATCTCATTGTTAAGAAACTGTTGCTGCCCATGTTGAAAAGGATGAAATGAACAACACTTGTTTCATGTATTATACTGAAGGTGCAGCCTACAAATGAATAACTGGGACATACAAACTTCTAATAATGTATCTGAGAATATGCCTTAGAATTTCTGAGGCACAATAGAAACCAGTAAGCATTATCTCAAAATTCTTATTTTCTTTTACTAAAATACATGTGTCTATCTTTTGTTCCTCTTATAGCAATAATACATTTAACACAATGGATGTATTATCTATATAATTCAAAACACTGAAGGTATATCTGGAAATAAATTTACTCTATGTATTAAATAAAACATTGAAACAAATCATAGATTGAAATTTTATATTAGAATTACTAACCATTACTAACCATTGATATACTAGGATGTAAATAGCTTCTAAGTGAACTCCTAATGTGTGAATATGGATTCATAAAAAAAGACATAACAAGGAAGTTTACATACTTTATTAAAATAACAAGAAAAGAAGTAAGTAGCATACTAAAATGAGTTGCATAATGCACACTTCTAAATACAAACAAGCATTAAAGCACAATAACTTGGAAAAAAGCAAAAAAAATCAAAGCATCTGCAGTTGAGAGAATGAGCATTTTGGAGGCAGTTTATATTCATAAAATATTCTGATCATTATTTAAATTAGTAATTTTGCAAAAGCCCAATCATGTTCTTATTATAGGTATTTTTAAGTTACCATTTTTGGGCCCCAAATATGTGCTCTCATTTTCTACATTATTCTGAATTGTTGTTATATGAATTCATAAAGTTAGCCCTTAAAAATTCTATACGTAGCATTATACTTTTTTTTAAAAAAATCTTAATTTAAATGTAATTTGGGAGAATGAGGACAAATGGCTTATTTGCTGATAATCAAAGCAGCAACAATATCATGGTCACATCATTCTCTCAACTGTTAGAAACAAAAGACATAGCAACAAAATAATTTGGTTTCCATCACTAACAAATAGCCACTGTATACAAAATAAAGCTTCGGAACCATGCATTCTAGGATAGATAAATCTTTATGCTATGTGTTTTGGGAGAAAAAAAGCTGACTGAAAGTTTGGTTGATTTTATATCTTGTTACAGAGGTATTTTTAAGATGAATAGCAAGGATTTTTGTAGTATTTGCAAAGAGTGGTGACTTATTTCATATTTCATTTCACTTATTTCATAGTGATACTTTCTCTTTTAGGTTTATGATATTGAGGATGGGTTCTATTTAAAGATGAAATTTCTCTATTTCTCTGGAATTGGAATAACCTGGTTTTTTGAGTATTAATGAGTAATTCTCTTAGAAGCAAGGACAAGTTGGGGGTTTGAAGTCTATGAAATAGTTAAACTAAATTCTTTCCTGGGCTTAATAATGGAGTTTAGTTTTTGGTCTTATTTATAGCCATTTGTCATATTTCATTCCCTAAATTGTTTTGTCCATTTATATATAGCCACTGTGCTTAAGCTCCAAAGAGTGTGCCCCAGTGGCCTGATGCACATTTCACCAACAATTCCCTGGAAAGCTTTTGTGATGCTTCTAGCATCATTCCTACAATCTTAGAGATAATTCTTCCTGACTTGGGCTCTCATCTCTCTATTAATTTTATGAAAATATATTCTTGTTGTCTTTTGCATTCACAAGGTGATGTTAACATAGGAACATGGGTTAAAGTGGAAATTTATGATGGGGATAAGGCTGAAGTTGTTGCTCCTACTTACGAAATGGATAAGTGGTTAAATATCATCAATGGAAATGCTGGTCAGATTGTCAGGCTGTTGTCGTATGACTAAGTCTAAAGGACTACAGACTTGGGATGGGAGGGGCAGAAATTTCTAGCCAACTGGCCCTGAGATAATGGGTAACTGTAAGGCTTGGATTGCTTTCTGGCTTTGGCTTCTTTTTCTGTCTCTGAAGTGAGAGCTATTAAAATGGGTAACAATCACCCAATACCAACTCCTTCAACCTCAGGATGATCTCCTACTCCAGGGCAAGAGCTACAGCCCAAAGATGTGAAGGACTCAAAGTCCGAGTGACGAGACATCCCTTAATCCTTCTAAACCCCACCTTTTCTAGGCCTCGTTGCCTTGGGGCATCAGGAAGTTGAATGGCTATCTGTAGGTGGTGTGGGAGCTGACACTGGCAGAGTTCAGCTGATTGAAACATTGTCTTCCAGCTCCTGTGTTAAGTAAGATTTGGGCTGGTTCTGTTATATTTAGTCAAAACCAAGGGGTGGGAGGCTGAAGTGGCACAGTACAGTACTTTGTAATCTGGCAAAGGTAGGTCAGAAAACAGCTTCCACTGAACAGGCATAATGCAAATAAAACTATTTATAAAGTTGTGCCAGGAGCATCTTTTCCTTTGCTGCAGGGAATAAAAGACTCGACTGCTGCCCATACTTAATTCTTAAATGAAATCTTTCAATAGTTGTCAATTTGGTTTGTGGTTCTGGATCTCTGGTTCACCTTAGAAATCTGATTGTCACTTAAATACATAGTAAGTGATATATAGATGAACTGATAATTTGCTGTGAATAATGAAATCTGATTCGATCACAATGGGAATATGTACCTTGTATCTTACAGGATATGTCACTATCATTACTGGTGTGTGTGTGTTCATGTGGTTTTGGTGAGGATTAATTTAAAAAACAATCTTTGCTAGTGGTCCTGCTGAAAGGTGAAGTACTTCTGCTCTTGTTCAGAGCTCTTAGCTGACCTTGACCTTTAACTGGTACCAGTCTTCCCTTTTGGTGTACTACAGTGGACTAAAAAGCCTCCACACCAGCAAAGCAACATCATGCTTTTGGTTAGTCTTCTAGAAAACACCCTCCTTCTCAAAGCCTTAGAAACAACTCTCTCTTACTAACTTTCCCACTATTATCACAGACTTCTTATATTTAAAAAAAGCTGCAAGGATTGTTTTCATGGACTATGTACATAAGTGCAAAAAAGGTGTGTCTCACACATTCGCACCCTAACTGAGACAATCAGTTAACTGCAGCATATGTCTCTTAAACACTGTTAAGGGGTCATTCCACAGTATCTTTATGTGTGGTTTTACAAGTAAGAACTAATTTCATAATATGCTTGAGTTATGCTTTAATCTTCATATAGAAATACATGTGCATATCATTCTAGGAAACCACTTCTGCAGCTAGAACTATGCTATTTATGTAAGATAATTTTGAATAAATAAAGTTATGAGAAAAAAAAGACCAGTTAATGTATCATAAATGCAATGACCGTGTTTTCAAGTCTAAATACTGTAGAATAACCCTATCCACACAACAAGTTCTACAAACTATAAAGCCTGACTCTAGAATCCACATGTTGTAAACTTTTTTAACCAAAAAGTCACACAAGGATACAAATTCAGCTTTCACATAGGATTTTGGGATCTAAAAGAGAGAATCAATCACAAAAATCTCTTTTCTGAATTTTGCACTGTATCTTCTACATGCTCATACTGTCACAAACCACAAAGAGTTTACAAGTAAAATTTTCACGCACATACACACAGAATTTCTAAAGGTAGCCATGTTGTAGTTTTGTTGCCAAAGCAACAACTAAATATAATTAACAATTACTATTTGTATATAAAGTGAAAAGTGTCCTTAAACTGTGAACTGTAAAGAATAGTTATGGACTACAGTTTGTCAATTTGGAACCTATGTAGGCAAGCTGAATACGTGGAGTCAAAACTTAAATTTTCTCTAATTCTCCTTCAAAATGCAACTCATTAGTTACGTAGAGATATAAAAATGTAATGAAATAAAAACCCTAAAAACTAACAAAGAAAAGACAGAAAACAGGGCACCAATCAGCCACTTGGTGCTCAGAACCTACATTTGCAGTTATCTTGACAGTTTGATTAGGCTATCAACTAAATTTGCAAAGAAGTCCTTATACTCTTCTACATGCTATTTGTTTTACTGCCTTAGGCAGACACTGGTAAAGGTAGGCCACTATCTTACTAAAGGTATCCATCCAAACTGAGAACTCAGATTTCCCTCATAAAATTTGCTTTCTATGGATGTGAAATATAGGAGAGAGAAAAAGAATGAAGATTCCAGTTTCTATTTCTATTGTGTGTGCCACCAAGTGGCTTACTGACTGAAAGAACTCAGAACTCAAGGCTGCATTTTATCCAAGAGCATCCTCATCTGCACTCTCCAACAGGGGAAAGAAAGAAGCAAAAAACATTCCAAATAGCACAGGAGCCTTCTCTCTTACTTAGCAAAAATGTAACGTAAATGCTGTTCCTTATTCAGACTTCACTGTGCTTACTGCTCAGGCCACTGAAAACAGATTCAAGTTGTAAAGATTAATTTCACTTGGTTCCCGCTCATGGCAGGAAGGAGGTACTTGCTTTTTCCCAATTGGAGAGCAGCTGAGGTGAGGCCTCCCATTAATGAACACAGCCTAGCGGTGTAGGACAACACTTTCGGCAAGATCAAAGTGCTTTCGCATGTTCAAAAACAGATGGAGAAGGTGGATGGAGTAGTGAGAAGAGAGCTTTCCACATCACAAGTGACTACAAATTAAAGACTCTAATCTAGAAAAGTGAAATGAAATGGAACAGCTGGTTGTTGAATCATGCTCCAATTGCAAAAGTAAATACTGTATTTAAATAGCAATTTTATGAATCCATTTATTTTAATCTTAATCCCTCTTTAAAATATACTTATGGTCACATAGTATTCTTTTATTAATTGATACTACTAAAACCTTCTTAAAAGATAATTTTTAGATTATTTTCTCTGTATACCTGACCCGTTTTATCCACATTTCAGTGCTCTTGCATACTTTGCAAAAGACTGAGAGAAATGGCCAAAAACAATAGTTTTGGATAAATAAAAATAGAGCCCCTTGTAAAATACAAAGCTTATAAAATGTTAACTAGGAATCACAAGTGGTTAGAATTTTATATATACAAGTCATCTAGTAAATTTTTGTTTAGAGTCACTGATTAGTTTTGTGACTTGTCTTTTTAACTGGGAATTTATAGTCTAATGACTTATTTTTCTCTTTTCTTGAACAAAGATAATATGAATAAGTCATTGCACAAGTAATTAAAAGAGTGCTATCTTAAAATTGCATTTTTAATCTGTTGAATTAGATTAAAACTTTAGGGCTTTGAATGTTGTTCCTTTAAATTCATTTACAAAACAACTCTTTAAATGCCGACAATACAGAAAATTGTGGCACCAAAAATACAAACCCTGAACATCTTTCACTGAAACTTTTACTAAAAATAAGTCATTATCATTTTACAGTGCTTCAAGCAACATGAAAACAGTTGAACTCTGGGTTTATTGTCTATGTTTAAAAAGTTAAATGAGATAGTATGTTGCATCAAAATGTCAAAGTACACAAAATCCATTTTGCCCAAAATACGTTCCTATCTCCACTAAGGAATATACATCTAGACAAGCTAACTACCGTTTATTGAGATTCAGATTGCCAATTGTGATCAGGAGGATATCAACTACCAGAGAGAGAATTTTGCTCTTATGTGTTTTGAACCAAACTAATCTGCTTTGGGTTAAAGTTTCACATGTTCTAAATCAGACACAAGGTGGAAAGGAGGAACGATTTGGGAGTCAGGATTGACAGTTCCGGGTTCCATGATGGCTACACAGCCTTGGGCAAGTCACAGGCCCTGGACCTCAATTCCATCAGTTGTGAAAAGATCTCAGCCAACTCCATTCTTTTGTCATTTCAAAACACTGCTGGCTGGTTTAAGGTATGCTAAATCAGGTTTTCTCTTTGCTTGTCATTTTCATGAAGGAAGAAAACAACAAGTTCATTTTAAAATTGTGTTTTTCTCAAAACTGTTGAATTTGATCAAAACCTGAGGGCTTTGAGGTTTTTCTTCTCTTTAATTTACAAAGCAACTTTTAAAATGCCAACAATGTAGAAAATTGTGGCACCAAAAATACAATATATAAAATCTGATGTTTTTATACATTCTCATGGGTGCATAAAATCTATCTAAGCTGATCTAAAATAATCATGTTCCCATGACTCTATAGTAGTAATGTTAGTAAGTAGCTGGGTAGAGTGGAAGAGGTTTGCCACATACCACAGGAAACAATGAGTTACAATATTACTTGGTTGCAAAATTATTTCCCAAGTATTAGTAGTTTGAATTCATCTCAAGTCTGTGGAGTATTGCCATTCTATGTCATCCAAAGGGCACTAAAAACCTCTCTATTACATAAAGGCAAACAAATTCAAACCAACAGGCTTGGCTGTAATGCAAGAGACTAGGGATAATGGTGCTCATCATGTATCATGGGGGCTTACAACAAAACGGGAAACTCAAACTGATGCTGAAGACAGCTGAGGCCATCTTTCCTAGTTCTTTGGAACAAATCAAAGAAAGATGCCCAATGCCACCCTGCCTTCTGTTCCTGCCATTTCTCCAAATTTGTACTCAGGCTTCCTCTGTGATCAATAGAGAAGATTGTCCATTTGAGGAGGAAAGGCCTTATTTGGAACCAATTTGCTTTCACCATTACTGACTTTTGCTAGATTGTGTCTTATTATTTAAAGAGTGGTCTAAACAGAGCAGGAGTCATTTGCATTGGGAAAATGGCACTAGCATAAAAGGTTACCCTGCGATGGTTTTACATACTTCTTTCCAGTATGTTAAAACCATCTCCACACCCTTCTCCCTGTGTTTGACTTATAACCTGTAATTTTCATACCTTTAAGCCCCCAAGTACCAGTTTCTCAGCTGAAGATGACAAATGGCTCAGTTTTAGACATTCAACCTAGAAGATTCTTGAGCCATAAAAATGGTAACTTTACATAATTTTTCAATTTAAATTTTAAATTTAAATGCTGAGAAAGTCATTAAAAGGTAAATTCTTGTTGTTCACACTATTCAAGAGGAGTGAACTAGGGGTTAATTATTAAGAAGTAATTATTTCTTTCTCAAAAAAATTCAGCAATTTGATTGCATTATGCAAGGTCAGATCTGCAGGAGCAAATTACCCACATGCATGTTTATGGACTAGTTATATTCTGAAGAGAGAGCATATTCACATGAATTCACTGTCATATTTTTCAACCACATATATGTCTCTCCCCCACTAATAACATTGTAGTTGAAATGAAACACCACACATACAAAACACTACAGTAGGTAAAAAACCTAACACCACACAATACAACAATGAGGAAAATGATGCTGTTTATATTTGTTAAATCCTAAATCAACCCAATAGATGATCATGTAAACAAAACAATAAGGTAACACTTCAAAAACAGAGGAACATTTATCCACCAAGAATGTACAGTAAGCATACAGTTCACTGTAGAAATTCACTTAGCATAAAGGTTATTGGAAAGTCGCAAAGAATAACATAGCAAGTTACAAAATTCCATGGTCATGTTCTACCTGATAATTCAAATAAGACAGATGGTAGTTATTAGTTTTCTACTCTTGTTTTTAACATCCCCATTGATTTTTTAATGCTTTATTTTAGTGAATTTGTTGGCTGGTATGTTTGCTTTGCTTAATATATCGACTGCACCATGCTTATAGTTGTGTTGGTAGAAGAGGACATTTGAGAGCATATATAGAAAGGCCATATGGAGGTTCTCATGGAGAGATTCCGATACTCCATAACTCTGCTGTTCAGAATTTCAACTGAAATGGAAAAAAAGAAAGAGTGAGAAACATTGAAGGGTTATTGAACTAGGAGTCAGGAGACTGTGGTCCTTGTTCCGGTCTTGTGAACAAACTTAAGGCAAGATATTTCCCACTCTGAATTTCAGACTCGACCTCTGTGAAAAGGGGACTGTTGGCAATGTCCACTGCATGCCGTACGGCTATGACAGTCTATGGGAAGTTCCAACAGAGTACTAATTTTGGGAACTGCCCAGAGTTAATAGAGGTGCACTCCATTATTTCAAGCATCACCTATACATTGCCAAAATTTACTGCTGGTCATCCACCCAGCTGTCTACCTCCTTCAACAGGCATATATTGAGAAAATGTTCAATACCAAACATTTTGAAACACACAAATATTAAATAAACTTTAATCTTTTTATCAGAATGTTTTAGAACCATGCAGAAAAACCCAAGTGTGAAATCTTGGTATTTATAGCATTGTATGAAATTACATTCTTGACCTTTAGAGAAATTTTCAATACAAATTACATTACTGAAGTAATTATGGTTTGCCAAACACCTCTACATTTTCTAATGGGATCAAGGAAAGAAGAATCACTCTTCCCAAACATGTTCTGTTGGGAAGTTAACTGTATTTGACAACTTTCATTTACGTTGATGTGAAACAACCCATATAATTGGTCAAGCATTGGCCAAACCTACATTCTCATGTTTGGTGCTATTTTCAAGTTGCCACTATTCCAAATGACAGCCCTGAAAACTATTACAATGTGTAGGTCTATCAGTTATTCCATATTCACTCCAAGGTATCTTTTGAAAACATTCCTTACAATTGAGGGAACCTAGTTACCTAAGGTACAGTCAGCTATTGACTGTGTCCTGAATACTTAGTGTTCTAGGCTCATGTGTCATCAGCAGGAAAGAAGGATTATCTGGAATGTAGGGAACTAGTGCATTAGGCAAAATGATTTCTGTCTCCTTCAATCAAATGACACACACTGGGTGTGAGAATTAAAACTTTCAATGACTAACATATGCAATTCAGAGTTGGTACACTTGTTTAGTTAATGCCTAGATTTAAGATACCCACAAGTCCCAAGTGGCTTTAAAAGTAACACGTTCCAAGTGAGTGATTACTCGGGTTAAGTATGTGACACTACAGGCTATCAACTATGTAAAAGGAGATCAAAAGTGAAGGGGGAAAAAGCCAACAACAAAAAGTTTTTAAAAATCACACATCTGATGAAAATAATGATGACATTATTAATTTATGTCACTCAAAATTAAAAAATGCTGGAAGAATTCTCACTTCATTGCATGGGAAGCAGCGTATCAATGCATATGCAATACAGCATATCATCCTAGCACTGTTTTCTCTAGTGTTAAAGAGGAGCATGGTGTTTACTGCCTTTAAGAGAATCATCTTAGTCAAATCCTGAAAAATTTACTCTGTTTTACTTCAGTTAAAAAATGAAGCTATAATAATGTTAAAGAATTAAAATTCCAAAGTGATCTGTACTGTTGGTTAACAAAGCATGCCTTTAATAACAGGAGAGCATCAGAATTTATAAGCTCACTGGGAAAATACAGTACCGGCTATCATCTCTAAACTTAAAAAAGGGATATTTACTCTCACACTTCAAGTTAGAGAATTTAGAATGTGTAAATGAAGCTCTATATTATAAGCAATGGTTATTAGTGAAAATATTTACCCAAGCTTGCAACAAATGCCAATTGTGTCAATAAAAGATATAGCCTATGAATATTATTTATATTAATACTTAAAGAAACTTACTGTTCTACTGGTAACTTCTACATCTGTGAAACAAACATGCTGCTATTCAGTTCATCTATTGATAATTGGGGTATCTATAGTAGTAAAAAAGATTTTAGATTAACATAGTTTCTTGAGAGAATTCTATTTTGTTAACTGCTTGGACATGGTAATCAATAATCATAAAACATTTCACATAAATAATGTGGACATATTAGCCATTTCCACTAATACTTACTTTTGCAAAGCACAGATCAGAACATGGGTTGTTCTGCTAGTGAATTAATGCCCTATGCGCTTCATGGTTATCATAGTTATAATTCAAACAGAAGTGGAACGTGCAGTCTGTTAGCATAGTTAGCACTTCAATAAGGCAAAAATGCCATAATATTAGACAATAATTTATTCTACTTCTAATTTGCCTTGTGTTTCTGCCTGGGAATCCAGAAAGCAAATGAAAATCAAAACAACACAAGCACATCTAATGTCTGTGTGAGGAGGAGTTTCTGATGTAATCACTTGGTAACGATAAGGATATCTGTGCCTTGGAAAGAAATGTGGTATCTTGCTTTCTTTCCAGTGAACCTGAAGGGAAAGGCGATGAATGTACCAAGTCAAAATTCAAACACAGTAACCAAAAATGGCAATAAAACAAAATATTTTCATCTTGACCAATGAGGAAGCATTTCAGGAATATTTAGTACAGTATATACATTTGAGGATTGGTGTGGGAGTAATAATTGGATATAGACTATAAAGGGTGTCTGGTCTTCAAGTAAAAATGAGTAAAGCTATTGATGAACCTAGAGGTGAGCAGCAAAGCACACACAGTACTCCACAATACACACAAAGCTAGAACTTCTGAATGTGATCATTGCTTAGGAAACACACAAGAATGCAGACCCATGTCTCTCACCAATCCTAAAAGCATATACTGTGCCTTACCAACACAATGTAGTTAACTAGGTCTCAACAGGTGAAATAAATGGCCAAACCTGATTGCCTGTAGGTGCTGCAGCGAAGGGAACGCTGGTGGCAGGTGCTGTTGCTGCAGACACAGTGGTAGGTGTAGCACCGTGCATCATGGGCACTTTCAGTAGGAAACCACGGAAGCAACACACGGGAGGGTGGAGCATTTATACAACCATGACATGTACGACGGAATGGGGCGTGGTAGGTATCACAGCAACAAGCCATGTGACATCATCATGATGGGAACACCAGGGCGCAACATGCAATCAGTCAGTGCCAAGCAACACAGCATGGAAGGGGGAAATTTAAAAAGAGAAAAGGGGAAAGCCAATTATAGTTACCATTAAGGAACATGGAATCATTCTTATCATTTAGTAAGTTTTTGAGCAGTATCACAATATAGTTAACTCAAAAGGCCAAATTTTTAGAACTGTTATATATGAGTACATATGGACCGAAAAACCTGATGTTACCAGTGCTATCTAGCTGAAGCTAGTTAAAGAGACAAATAACTCAATTGCATGTTCAAAAGGAGAGTAGAAATTGTGAACTGCTGTTTGGATCCACTGTCTTATGGACATCAGTGCAGCCACTAAATTTGCAGGTGCAAACAGACAGTTATGTATGTATACTTACCGGATCCACATGCAAAAAAAAAAAAAAAAAGGATTGTTCAATTTTCCAGTATGTGATAGGGGAACAGGTATGAAAAATACAGTGGTCTATGTGTGCGGAGTTTTAAGTATGCCTTTGGCAAACTCCTAGGAAAGGTTGGCTGTTTATCAAACAAATACATGAAGGAATTCATAGTAAATCTTGTCTTCACAGCAAATACTACAGCTACAATAGCTAGCAGCTGCAAAATCTCTTTCAGGATGTTTTCTCCATGTCTTTTCTAGTTTCTCTCATTCTGAAAGCCTTTTGAATGCTTTTCTAATTTCTAGCTCACTTTGGAAAGCAAACCAGGGAATTCACGTGTGAATGGCAATGTGGGAATGGCAAGCATGCATATAGAATAATTTATCATGTCTACATCCATTGAATTCAGATTTCCTGAAAGTCTACAGAGAAAGTACATGGCTGGAGAGAGGAAAAATCAGCATGGGCAATGCCATGGGAACCAGACGTGTACTCCATCCACGTGGTCATTACCAGACACTCTAGACACTCTACAGTTCTCCCTTCCACTCTTCTCCAGTTACTTGCAGCCATCCTTTATTGTCTCACAAGCCAATTCTAGAAGCACTCCTGTCTTCCCGTTGGGAGCACAGCGACTGTACAGGAAGCAGCACCACTAAAGCATGCAGTTTGCATTCCTAAGCAAGCTCTAAAGGGAACAGGACAGGGGGAGCATCCCGGAGAAGACAGGCACAAAATGTGAAGGCAGAGACACACTTCTTACACCAGAAGAATTTTGCCTAATCAGATGCATATTATGCTCTCCTTAGTATTAAGGGAAATTTTGTTAACTCCTACAGGGATCAGCCAGTCCCTCAATAACAGAGGCTTCCATGTCCAGGGTTCAGACTTTGTTGTGTTAGTGAGTGCTGCTACTACGTAGTTGTGGTTGTTATTTTGACCTTTGGTTTTATCTTAGTGAAGCCTGTTAATGCTTTTTGAGCTTGGCTATCTACTCTGGTGCACAGTAGGATGGAAGTTAAGGTAGTAGAAACTCTCTCAAAAGGCATAGGAGGAGTCAGATTGAACGAGTTGGGGAGATGGGATCATCTGTCCCTACACTTATTTGTTCCTTGTGCCCATAAGTACTATAGCAGCTGTGAACTCCTTGGTTGCATTCCTACCCTCCTCAGTTGTTAGTGAAGTACAAAATGGCTTAGAGAGGGCAAACATGTTGTGTTGGTGGCTAAGTAAAGGATCTGTGTGTGACTGGTTGCTTACAATCACGTAATTGTCTTAGAGTCCATTTGAAATGATTCCCCTGTGCCTAGTTTTTGTGTAGACAACGCTTCATCCTACAACACATCAGAATTCATCACAGAACACTGCAGAGTGCACTAGCTTTGCTCAACTCAGCCTTTCTCCACATGTGAGTGTTGAATGGTTTAGGTTGCATGAATTTGGAGAAAAGAAACTGTTTACCTGTACTTCCAAAATTATACCTTTGAAATATTTTACTCTTTTTTAAAAGAACAGATGTAAAGTGAAGAACCAAAATGCTCAGTCTGGCTTAGTAAAGAAACATTTAAAAATATTTTAGTTGCTAGTTTTAGCACACAAATATGGCACAAATGTCAGGCTCAGTATTTGGCCACAGTGGCAACCAACCAGGACTTGAGAAAGTAGGATTATTTTGATTCCACAAAGAGAAGAAACATAAAGCTCCATATGAAATGTTAAATATCCAGAAAAAGTTCAGCTACATCATCCAGTCATTCATTTTTTGTCATGGTAAAAATAGAACAATTTTTCAGACTTGAAGAAGTAAAGAATTTTTGTACAAAACCTACCAATATTTGAAGTGGGTGCCATGCACAGTATTGGCCCTGTACACCATGCAGAAAAGCGTGGAAAGTAAAGAAAAGAGATATTTCATTATCAAAGCTTACTGACAGAGATAAATTTTAAATAGAAAGATAATTTCTTGGCAATATCAATTAATCAGTACATGCAAACCCAGTCATCTCCCATGCTTACAAATTCAGATTAGCTTTAAAATCTCAAATTCAGGTACTGAAACTTAATTCTTGGATTCTTAGGTACAAAAGGAATGATCTCACTGAAATTACCTATTTATTTTGGACATACACATCCTAAATAGTTTTTTATCACAAAAATAATATTTATTACACATATTTCTTTCAAAATTATGCTCCAGGATCTACTATCTGGTGGCCATATTTCTATTTAGAGCATTAATGTATTAAAACTGCCTTCTCCACCTCATTGCTACTGAGGACTTGACTGTGAAGATACACATTACAATGATTTTTCCATTAAAAGGGCGCTCTCAGTTGGACAGATTTGGTTTTGCTCTTAACAAAGAGGAAGAGGTCTTTCTGATATTTTGGCTCTGAAGTCTAGATTTCCCTTTGGCCAACTATGGCAAAGAAAATGTAACTTTTAAATGAAGTAACTGTAGGATTTTAAAAACTTAAATTGAACATCATGCATTTTATCATGTTCATTCACCTTGGCTAGACTTCCTGGGCTACTGAATTTGTTCCATAGCTATAAGAAGTATAGCTGGAAGGCAGCGGCTGAAAATGGAGTGATTTAATGTGGAAATAAATTACCGCATTTTTTGAAAAAAGAAAAAGGCCAGAAATAAAGTCACTTCAATCAAAATGGTTTTCACTGCTACTGCAGAAATTATGTTCTTTTTTTTGAAGGTTTAGAGGAAAAGTCCTAAATTGTTAGCTATCAATGGTTAGTTTTAAGAAGTGATGTTAATATGTACTAAGGAATTACATTTCCCTGGCAGAAACTATGATAAAAATGTGTGAAAAAAGTATAAGTAATATTTTTCATTTATTTGAGAGGTAGGGAGGGAGGGAGGGAGGGGGAAGAGAGAGAGAGAGATATCTCTTGTGCTGGTTCACTCCGGAAATGCATGAAATCATGGGGACTGGGCTGGCTGAAGGGAGCTGGGAACTCAATCCAGGTCTACCACGTAGCTGCCAGGAACTCAATCACTTCAGCCATCACTGTGGTATCCCTGGGGCTGCACTAGCTGAAGCTGGTGTCGGGAGCTAGAGCTGAGTTTTGAAAGCAGATACTCTGGTATTGGACACGGGTAACTCTGCTAATAGGCTAAATGCCCACTTTCAAGACCATAATTTAAATGATGTCATAAAGAACTACTTCAATCTTTAATTAAAGACCGGGTTTTTTATGGATTCTTTTCAAATTAATCAGTTTATTAGTATACTAATTAACTGATGGGTTTTTTTCAAACTCAGGTATACAATGCTATGTGTTTGGTGTGTTTAATTAACAAAGCTTTTTGAATTAATATTTAAAACCTAAGTCATTTTCATTTACTAATAGTTAACAAAATGGAGCCTTTAGCATTTTAACAATGCACTACTCACAGTGGTTAGTATTTTCAATTTATTTCTAGCAGTCTGTATGCTCATTCTTAAAGTAATGACCACTGGAAGAAATTTATTTCCCTGCACATATATTTATTTGAACAAAATTCTGATTTAAATTTTTCTATTCAACTTGGTATAAAACTGTCATAATATTAAACACAGTTGAATGCAGGAGGTAACCTAAAATATGCTGTAAAGCATAAGAAAATATTTTGCTATAGTTTCAAGTTGCTATGTTTTTATGTTACATTATGTTCAAGAGTTGGAGGCCAAAACCGTCTGTTTTAAATATACTATGCTATTCCCTAAATGTATGTATGGGTAAGCTACTATAGCCACCTTTAGTATATTAAGGATACATGGGGTATAGATTTTTTCAACACTTAAGGGAAGTTATTAATTTGTTTTACTGCAGACTATGTCTGTGAAAATGATACCTAAGAATCAAGAAATTAGTTTAAGACTTAACCAAGCAAATCAATCATAAGAAGCAAAAATATAAGAACTGCTAAAAAGAAAAATGTGAATACTTTCTCCCAATTTGATTTCAAACATTAAATTTCAAGAATCACAGAAAAACAGGTCGTTCTAGATACTAGTAGATCAAGCATGCTTGCCTTGTTTTATTTCTAATCAAAATACATGTCGACAGTCCTCCCAGCAAAACTCTTTGGAAGCTGCTTTGCATTGTACACATTCACAATATCATTAAACTCGCCATGCCCAGAGCTGTGTTCTCACCTGCAGGGATATATGCCTGCTGCGGGAGCTGCAGGTTACCCACAGCCTGCTGGCAGTGGTAAACACTTGGATTGAAGACTGGAGTGGCACCATTGGTCTTCTCAAGTGCCAATCTCTTTGGTATCAGTTGAATTGCACCAGGCTGAAGGGCCTGTGGGGGAGAGATGGGTTAATCACTAGTACCACAGAAAGCAAATAAAATAAAATAAAATAAAATAAGAAAGAAAGATATATAGAGAGAAAAAGAAAAAAACCATTCAAACAAGCAACAGCTCTAGAAGGTATGGCCAGGGAATCCTCTACACCGGCATTCCTTTGAGCAAGGCATTCAACAAGCAATGGGCTCACAGCATAGAAACCAACTGTACAGATTAATGTTTAACTAGATGAGTAGTTAACCCTAAACAGAAAATTAAAATACAGGGGAAAAAAAGTTTTTCAACTTCACTAATTTAGACCTTTTTAAGGCATGATGTGACACAAAGCTATTATAGCAAATCATAATTACAAACTGACACCTGAGGGATGTTCACCCATGAATCCTTCAAAGTGAAATTAGCAGAAACAACAGCTAGAGCAGGAAAGAGGTTTCCACCAGTTATAACTGTAATACGAATGTAGGCGATTGAGGTACGTGGGTGATAAAACCCAAAACACATGCTGGTGGACTATCACAGTCTCCAGCCCCATAACCCAGATCCAACTTATACACAGACTTCAGGTTCAGGGCCTCCAATGCCTAATTCTCATGTACGGAAAATGCCAATGAAGCATTTCTCCCCCACTGCCTATCTCACCCAAGTACCAAACAGTTAGCAAAATGTATTCACTTCTCATGTATGGAGGTTTCCTGGGCATTTCAGTGTGTGCCATTTGCTTTAAGTCCTCATAAAGCTAAATTCTAAAATCCATTAGCATTTGTAAACCCTCCATTCACATCTATGGTTGCTTGAAAATCCCACTGTTCTTCTAATTCTCAAACATGGCCCTGAATCAGATTTGTTGGAGAACCTTAATATTATTTTATGTTTTTTTTTTTTTTTTAATATTGGAGACGTAGAGAGCTAGAGAGCTCCCATCTGCTGATTCGCTCCCAAAATGCTCACAACAGCTAGGACTGAAGCCAGGGAATCAAGAGCTGGAATTGAAGTACTTGAGCCATCACGGTTGCCTCCCAGCATGCTCACTGGTGGGAATTTGGAGTCAGGCGCCGGGGCAAGGACTCAAACCCAGGCACTCAGAGGTAGGATGCGAGTGTCTTAACTGCTAGGCCAAATGCTATGCTATCCCTACTTTACATCTTTTTTTTTTTTTTCTCAGCAAGTTGCACATTACTTTAAAAATATATCCCATCGGCCGGCACCGCGGCTCACTAGGCTAATCCTCCGCCTGTGGCACCGCACACCGGCTTCTAGTCCCGGTCAGGGCGCCGGATTCTGTCTCAGTTGCCCCTCTTCCAGGCCAGCTCTCTGCTGTGGCCCGGGAGTGCAGTGGAGGATGGTAAAGTGCTTGGGCCCTGCACCCTACGGGAGACCAGGAGAAGCACCTGGCTCCTGCCACTGGATCAGCGCGATGCACCAGCCGCAGCACCGGCTGCAGCGGCCATTGGGGGGGTGAACCAACGGCAAAGGAAGACCTTTCTCTCTGTCTCTCTCTCTCACTGTCCACTCTGCCTGTCAAAAAAAAATTTTTTATACCATCAACAACAATCAGGTATGTTCCAAATTCTTAAGGAGACAGGAACACTTGTTCTGATTGAGTAGCCTTTCTGGTGCAAAAAAAGGGTCTTGCCATGACCTCCTTACTCCTATGGATAATGAAGACCTTAAACCTCTTCTTAAAGCCGTTGTTTACTTAGACTTACCTCAAACAAATTCCTATGGGCTAATCTGATCTTACCATTAAGACCTGCTCTGATCAGTTACTCAGAAAGGAATTTTATATTGATGTTCACAATACCAATCGCATGCCCACTGTATGAGGGTACTTCAAAAAGCTCATGGAAAGTTGCATTAAAAAGATGAGTTGAAATCTTTATATAGTTTTTTCATAACATGCATTTTCCATGAGCTCTTTGAAGACCCCTTATAATATTTATCCATCTAAGTGGAAATCTGAGTACACATTTTACCAAACACATACAGATCATCAGAAATGAGCAGGTACATGGGAAGGCCCCATGCCTGAGTGCAGGTTCGAGTGCATATGGCACAAGCAAGCCATTCCTTGTACATCCCCTGTGCACGAGATTGTTTATTTTTAATAGAGCAACTGTACTCAAGTATTTTAATAGGCCCATGCCATTTCTGAATTCTATGCAACCAGTCTAAGTCATCAAAAATTGAAGGCTTAAATTCTGCAATGAACATTCTGGATCCTTTACTCTTTTCGTACATTAAAATTCCCCTCTTCAGATACATTAATGAAAAAAAAAACATGCATTAGCCAAGTGTGTTGTCCAGATCAAAGGAAAGAGTAAGTTCTACTTTGGTGCTCTCATTCTTCACAAAGTAATGGGTTCCATTCTGAAAGAACAGAGTCATTGGGAAAGCAGAGACAGTGCACAAAATACTGGTCTGTCCTTGCAACCATAACCCACAAGGAAACGTTGAAAAAATTTGGGGTATTTGGCTTAGAGAGGAGACATGAGGGTCACTTTCATAGGGGCTAGGGATTGGCTTGTTTTGTGAAGTTCCAGTTGCAACAAGGGAAGTGTCAACCCGATATGTGGAGAACCTCCTTAAGTGGGACGTTTGAAAACAGGCCCGCACTTACCATAGCACTTGCAGCTGAATGGTTCATCTGGTGATGAGCTGCCCTGAGCTTGGCCTGCAAGTGTGGAGGAGGATGGAAGTACTTGCATTTCTCGCGGGAGCATCGCCCTTTGATATAATCCATGCAGATTGTCACAGTATTATCACTCACTTCAATCATGGACACATCTGTAGGGTGAGCATAGCGGCAATCATTCTCCCCACGGGTACAATTTCCACGCTGAAATTCTCGGCACACCTTGAAGAAGAAACAAAACACACACGCACAGATGACAGTGATGAGTGGAAGGTGATTGGGCGTTGTTTATTTTGCCACTGCATGTAGGGGTAATCCTATGCATTTTGTCCTATACCTTTATTTATTAAAATTCTATACATTTATTTAGGAAAAATCTAAAAAGATGAGGGATAATCCCAAGCCCATTCACCGTGAGATGTAAACAGAGAATTGTTATTCCTAGAAAGTAACTTCCATTTTCCTCAAAAGGAAACAGTCTGTTTTCCTTACATCAAAAAAAAGTTCATGGAGATTGTGTATCATGAAAAAAACTATGTATGGATCTCAAAACTTTTTTGCAGCAAATTCCAATTCCTTGAACTTTGTGAATCATTTCATACACTAGCAAGCATTTATGGGGCTGCCAATGGAGTTGACTGAAAAATTGACTAGTCATTTATGTCAACACACGAAGAATGGCGTTTAAGGAAAACTTGAGGAATTTGAATAAATCTATAAGATGCTTGCAATTTCTTTTAGATTTCTTAGGCATCAAGTGATATTTGCTATCTAGTACACCATTCTTTTTTGTATTTTATTGCTTTATTGAGATAAAATTTTAATACATTTACCCATGTCAATTTGAAAACTCACTGATTTTAAGTACATTTAAAGGACACAAGACATGATTATTAAAATGTTGAAACAGCTTTAGATTTTTTCAGTTTGATTATCTAGCAAGTAGAGATTTATTAATAAATACAAGTACATTAATCACATTCTGTAAAGCTGGAGCTTGGGTACAAAGAGCATTCCCATGCAGATTTCCTGTGCCACAGGCTGTGTAGATGAAAAACATTGTTTGACCTACTACACAACTTCAGTGCATTGCATAATGGGATATAATTACAATAGTAGAATGCTTAATATTTTTCTGGGTTATATTCCATAAGCCAAAAATCTAGGGTGTACTTATTTAAAAGACATTGGCCTCTGTATAAGGTTAGTAGCTATTCTACAGGTACTTATATATTTCTTCACAAATACCTCCAGTTTGTCAGAACGCATTGGTTTTGGACCAACAGCTCCTGGCATTGCAAGAGGTGGATTTCCAGAGATCAAAACAGGTGTATTTGGTAAAAGTTCGGCAGGAACCATGCCCATCCCAGGATGAGGTAAATAAGGATTGAAAGCCATGGTAGGATTAGCTGCAAGTTGCGGATTCATTGGAAAAGAATTCTGTAGGTTTAAGAGAAAAGAATAAAGGTGTTACACATCAACAGATTCATGCTATTATTACAGAGGGAGGCAAAAAGGCATTAATTTAGAAATATCAGAATTACCAAAGTCATATCAAAATTTACCATTGTTTTTTCTGATTTTTAGTCTCATACTCATTCCCATATAGGAGCTCCTTTAAACTAGCAATTCTTTATAAGTAACATATTAATTGATAAGGTGATCAAACTAATTAGCCCAATTAAATCTCATTGCTAGAATCTGTTCCAAGTGTGTTTTCTTCAGCACTTCTTTTTCTACCAACAAACCATGTCATCAATGACATCATAGATCTGAACAATATCCCTTATCTCCTCCCACAGCCATGGCCTTTGCAGGTGGGCTCCAGGGACCCTGGAAAGCCCCATATTTTCTACTTACCTGTTCCCCATCAATGCTGCTTGGCTCTAAGGCTGCCTGTCCTACCACACATCCCACCAGTTACTACTAAAAACATTGGTTTTGCTTCTTTTCTTGGCCTGCTGACAATTATGAAAGACAGTAAGGACTTGAGGAAGAAAGAGGTAGATTAGAAATAGTGAATGCTTTAACAACTTCTTGCCATTAATCTAAAATGAGATTGATATGGTCATCATTTTTTTATATATATTGCAGGTCTTGTTTTACAAACTGATCTGACCTGCCTAACTGGTCTTTACTGAGGGGGCCAGATGATACTCACAGTTCAAAAGGAGGCCCTACAAATGCTACAGTGATTCCTGGTAGGTAGGCATGTGAGGTACACACTCTAGAGTATAACTTGTAAAGGAAAGTCTTAAAAATGCAATGGGCCAGTAATGGTTTTTCAATTTTCAATGTGCTGGATTTAAAGAGTTTGTTATGTAGATTGCTGTTATTATTGGCAACCACGTAATTTATCACTTCACCGTGCTGTTTTGCACCTTGTGCCACATGTGGGCATTTTTCCTTCTCAACGTGGTTATGGATTCTTTGGAAGTGTTCTTGTCTCCCCTATAGTACCTAATATTTAGTGAATGACCAATGCATAGGTTAAAAAAATCAATGATCAATTTTTCAACAAATGTTAACACTTTACAGAATGAATCATCAATCATGATTAAATGCAGTACACTTAATAATGTAACACATGCCAATCATGACTCTATAAGGTAGTGGTGGTGCCTCACTGTGTGTCACTAACTGCATGTGCTCAAGAACTGGTAATACCCAAAAGGGTGAGTAAAGCAGGCACCAAGAGCAAGAGATTAAGAAGAAAGGGTAGACGCCAGGTGACAAAAGATGAGGCTAGTCAGGGGAGAGGCTTTCAAGGCTTAAGGGCAAATCGCCAAGGGCTGACCTCGCCCAAACTAAGGATTGTGATCTACAATGCTTCTCATGGAATGAGATGGGAAGCTCCAGGAACTAGCTAATGTGACCTTATGCTATTGAATGAGAAGGAAACCTCTTACAGTCACCCAGGCCTGCGTCAGCAACAGGCAGACGTTAGTAAGTCAATGCTTCACAGTCATCTCAAAAATCAGCAAGACTCTGATGGATAACTTCTGCTTCCTTTGGAATACATGTGAACCCTCTAAGGCTTGTCACATGCTCCAAGTATATGAAAAAAAAAAGGTGTAAATTAATTATCAGTCTATATAAAAATGTAACGGGCTTACTGAAAGGTTTAGATTTTTGGGGGGTTTATTTACAAACTATACAGGACTATCTTCAGCTTATAAAATTAATATCATCCATTTAGAACCATTTCCTCCTTGAACATAGATTTCTGTAACATTGTTTATTGAGGAGAAACAAGTTCTTCCATTCTCAAACCCAGAGCAGAGGCCAGAAGTGCTGAGCTGCTTATTCATTCGCACACGGCCGGTTCGGTTTTCTCACTACCACCTCTGCCCCAGGGTGACCACTATGTTTCACTAACTTGAACGTTCCAGGGCTTAGTTTTGACTAACAGCCAAGGGTTAAACCAGGTACCTTGCAAGCTCCCAGGTTCAGTTTTAATAAGCAACTTAATCCTGCTTATACTTATTTCACAGTCTTTGATGTCAACAGAGTTGCAATAAACCTCCGTGTGGGTTCATCTTTATTTTTAAAGGGAAACATTCTTAGCATGTTAAATATGTCGCAGATTTTTAAATCTAAACCTAAATTGTGTACTAAACACTTAAAAAAATATGAAGAGGCTTCTCCTCCCAGAACCAGAGGTATGGATTTTCATCTTTCTACATCTTATCAGAGCAACAAGGATTTGGAGATATTAGACTTTATGATAAAGATCACCCCACAATTATTTTCCCTCCATGTCTCCAGCAGTATTACTTCCATTGGGAGAAATTCTCAGGAGTTCCCAGTGACTTGCACAGTGCCTAGGAACTATCATTCCCTCAGGAAATTTCCCCAAAAATTTAACCAAATGTCTCCACAACAAGTGTGGGTCCTAATCTTTTTTGAGTCTGGGACTTCTCTGAGAATGAGATGCAAACTGTGGGCCCTGCCCACAGGAAAACTCCTGAATGCACAAAACATTGCATGCGTACTCAGAAGTTCAAGGACCCCCATGTCACTCATGCCTCATATGGGATTATGGACAACCTACTGATTAAGAACCTAAATGTTTTAGAGTTAGGATCTGCAAACTAAGGCTGGGATGGCCTTGTTTTTTATAGTCAGTGAGCTAAGATTACGTTTTACAGTTTTAAATGGTCGGAAAAATGAAAGCAGAGGCTGGGGTTGTGGCCTAGCTAGTAAAGCTGCTGCCTATGATGCCAGCGTTCCATATGGGCACCAGTTCATGTCCTGGCTGCTCCATTTCCAATCAGCTCCCTGCTCACGGCCTGGGAAAGCAGTAGAAAACGGCCCACATGTTTAGGCCCCTGCACCCACGCTGGAGCCTGAAATGAAGCCCCTGGCCGTTGAGGCCATTTGGGGAGTGAATCAGTGGATGGAAGATCTTGCTTGCTCTCTGTCTCTCCCTCCAACTCTATAGCTCTGACTTTCAAATAAATACATGAATCTTTAAAAAAAGTGTGATAATAATATTTCATAATGCATGAAAATTATGACATTCTTATTTCAGTGTCTATCCACAAATTCCACTGTGCTCATTAGTAGACCTGTATTACAGAAACTCATGGGTATTTGTTTTCTGTCTTGTTATATAACATATGTATATAATATCCTTAACGCTGTGTCTTGTCTCCCACAGCCTAAAATATTTACCATATAGCCACATACAGCAAAGTCTGCTTACCCCACCTCTGGAGAATTCCCAAAAATAAAATACTCCATCAATTCCTGGAGTAAGGGCCTATTATACATAATTCTATTGATATGAATTTAACATCCATGACAAGATTCTACAAGCTGAAAATGTCTGATTTCATAAACCAATAGTAGGGTATTCATTAAAATACCCTTTAAGTAGTAGTTGCTAAAGCTAGAGTTCTCAACTGTTTGCATATTATAGAACAATCACTACACAGTGAATGAGGATGGGGAAACAGTGGTTGGACTCCTGTAAAAGTAGGATTTTTCAAGGCCAACCCATCACATTTTGGTCTGAAAGCATCCTTAAGTACCTTTGAATAACAATGTAATTGAATGAAAAAACATGCCTCAAATAAATATGTCCAGCTTGCACACATTTTAGAAACACTGACTTATTACTTAAAAACAGGTTATTCTAGCATAATTAAAATTAAATATTATGCTAATCAATCTTTGTGCTTCCCTAACAGATTAGATCTACTTGTAATTATCTCAATAATATCCAGGGTTGGTAGCAGTTATAACTAGATGAATGCAAAAATACTTTAAGTCACTTCAGCTGGGGCTGGCTTTGTGCCATAGTAGGTTAAGCCGCCTTCTGCAGCGCCAGCATCCCATATATGTGGCAGTTCAAGTCTGGCTGCTCCACTTCTGATTCAGCTCCCTGGTAATGGCCTAGAAAAGTAGCGGAGGATGGTCCAAGTCCTTGGGCCTCAGCACACATGTGGGAGACCTGGAAGAAGCACCTGGCTCCTGGCTTTGGCCTGGCCCAACCCCGTTCATTGCAGACATTTGGGGAGTGAACCAGCAGATGGAAGATTCTCTCTCTCTGTGTGTGTGTGTCTCTCTCTCTTTCTCTCCCCCCGCCACCGTGCCGTAATTCTGACTTATAAATAAATAAAATATCTTTAATAAAAAGTCACTTCAACTAAAGCCTCTCCTGAATTCAACAGAATAACTGGGACCCCTCCCCCATTTCTGAGTTCCTGCCTACAGGCACACTACCAAACATTCTCTTTTATAGAAGGATAAACATTTGGTAACAATTTGTTGACTCACTTTTAATACCAGAAAAATAGCACTCTTAAATTTTACTAGCACTCATAATACCTTTCTTTTACTGCTCCTTTGTAAGCATTTATGCAGTGTAAAAGAAAGTCCCTTTCCTGGTCATCATGTTTATGTCTATCCTTAGACAAACTCAAAGTGCACTGAAATGCATAATTGTAGTTTCCACTGGACTTTACTGTTTGCAGGGGGCTCAATTGGATCATGTCTGTTTCACAAGTTTTGCTAGGTTATATCCACAGCACTGTTGCACTGGGACTGAAATAGACAGCAGGCAGACTGCTGGAGGCCCACATAAACCTCCAGACTAGTTAACTGTGCCCTCTAAAACTGAGAGGTCAATTTACAAACAGGTGCAAGCTGATAGTGGAGTTTAAGTGCTAATCATCCTTGTCAATGAATAAGTCATTGTGGCCCTGGAGAGAGCCAAGAGAAGCAAAGTTTGAGGGTCAAAAGTGAATCATGGTCCTCACCTAGGCCCGACCTTTCTGACCTTAATAATCACAGATGTCTCCAAGTAAGAAGAAGAGTTAAAGACAAGCGAGTAGGCAAAGTATCAGTGAATGACTGTGGTACAAAATGTGTAAAGGGGGCCAGCACCATGGTGCAGTGGGTTAATCCTCCACCTGCGGGGCCGGCATCCCATA